CTCTCTCTCTCTCTCTCTCTCTCTCTCTCTCTCTCTCTCTCTCTCTCTCTCTGATAGCTCCATTCCGTCTTCCCCCTCGGAGCTCTCAGGTTGCCTTGTTTCTGACCCTCACTCCCATGCCACCTCCTCCTCCTCCTCCTCTGATTCAGCTGCTGGAGGGGACGGGGGCCAACAGGCCACAACACTAGGGCACTTTCTGCTACAAACCAAGAATGTCTAGAACAAACAGATACCCATTCAATTATTTGGAAAATGTCACCCCTCCATCCTTTCTCCTTGTTGCTTTTTGAGTATTACAGCTGAACCTCATCTGGAAGACACCTGCCAAATCTAGCCCATTACTGGGCAAACTAAATATATTCACCAGGATTAGAAACTCAGCAGTTCTATTTTACAGGTGATTCAACCCACGGATCTCAGAGGGCATGGATTTATTTCGATGTAAAGCTGGTTGAATCCGTCACAGGTTATTAAGTAATGTATTAGTTGTTCTTCCTTTTAATGTATTATAATTCATAACCTATTTTTAGTTTGGAGTGCAAGCTGAACCTTAACACAACTTACATTTGAAGTGCCAAACCAGCAGCCCAACCAACAGGGAAAGGACCAGGCAGATGGATACCACGATGACTACCACTATCCAACGCTTTGGACCACGCTTCTCAAGCTTCTTGGTGTTCATGGTGGGGAGGAACTCCACCCCTTCCTCAAGGCCGTTCATGTCCTAGAGGAAGACAGACAGAGATGATCAGGCTGCATCTTAGTACATCCAAAGTCTCAATCCCTATGTCAGGATTCCGGCAGTTACCCCAATTAAAACATGAGTCTCGAGCCAAAACTTCCAAAACTTCAAAAGGATTTATTGGGAGTTAACATGTTGGCACTGCCTGGGTATAGCTGACTCTGAAACACATCATTCATTGTCACCCTTGACCCTGGTTTTCCCCCCACCCCCTGGGTGTATCATAATTCATATTCTCCAATGAGACACCTCCATAGCCCAGAGTCTTCAATCATGCTCTCCAGCTAGAATTGTGCACAGCAGAAACTTCAGTCACCTAGTTACTATCTTTGAAAAACTATTTATGGAATGCACTTTCTATTTCCGAGCTACCACACTGCTCTTTCAAACCCCTTTCCCCCCATCCCTTTCTGTTGGCAACTCTTAAAAAAAAAATAGAAATATTTTATGAGTTGACACCGTGGATGTTCTCTCATCCAAATGTATTCAGCAGGGTCTTCTCCCCTGACACACATTGCAAGATGCGTTTCTGCTTGACGTGACACCGGTTCCAACTGATACCTGAATGTTTCTTCAGACTAGTCTTAGAACAAGGCCTCAGTTCAAAGCAACCTCATCTTATTCAGTTCTTTTCTCCAGCTTCTGAGTCGATTCCTCAGAATTTGTTGCCCAAGACAATTCACTGAGCTTGGCTGTTTTCTTGCAGAGGTTTCATTACCCAGTTAGGTATCTCCGTCATGCTAGCACTGATGAGGTTATCTAGCAGGGTAATGAAAAGTCTGCAAGAAAACAACCAAGCTCAGAAAGCACCGATGACAGCGCAGTTTTGGATGGATGGAAACTGAACAAGGAGAGATACAACCTGGAAATAAGGAGAGATTTTCTGACAGTGAGAACGATCAGCCAACGGAACAGCCTGCCCTCGGAAGTTGTGGGAGCTTCATCACTGGAAGCTTCCAAGAAGAGATTGGACTGCCATCTGTCAGAAATGTTGTAGGTTCTCCTGCATGGGCAGGGGGTTGGACTAGGTGACCTACAAGGTCCCTTCCAACTCTGTTAATCTGAAAACAAGTTTGACCTTTAGCTACAAATGTTTTCTTCCAGTGGGTTAGACTGGCCCTGCCTACAAAGCTTTGCTAGATGGCACTAACAAGGCAATCCTTTCCATCCTTAAGGAAATCCAAAGTATCCAGAAGGTACCACAAGTTCCATCAGTCACAGCAAGTAGAGGCACCAGGTGCAAACGATGGCCTAGGAGGACATCATGCTGGAAAAGGCCAATGTAGTCCAGCATTTAGGTGCCCTGGTTGTTGAGGCTCACAAAGCAAGAAAAAAAAAGCCCAAGTATGATTCAATAGGTTCAATGCTTTATTTTATTCTCTCTTACTTTCCTCCTTACCCTCAATCTCTAATTAGCTTTTGCTCTGTTAGATTTTGCTCCCTCATTAAAAAAAAATTTTTTTTTGCTTTAAGCTCCTGGGATTAATCGACTTGCATTTAAATTGCTCTGCATCACACTGCAAACCACCTCACCAGTCACATTTGTGGTGATAAAAAGCAAGGCAGGCAGGCAGGCAGATGGATAGACACAACATCGTTTCTTTCTCTCCACCCCACAGAATAACATGTGATCCTTTTGCACATTTATTTGAGTGCTCAAGGGAAGCAGAACCCCTCCCTCCTAATTCCTCTTCAAGGGAAGCAGCAGCACACCTGCTGCTTCTCACACCATCCACCTGCCCTGCCACCCAGAGTTTTCACTGCTTGCCAGCAACCGTCTCAATGACAAGACCTACCAAGCCATTCTCTCAGCAAAAATACATATGGCAAAGGTTATCTCAATATTTGATTCCAATACAGACTATAGAGAAACAGAATTTTTACTGCGCAACGGCTTCTTCTTATTGACATGCTATGAAAATGCAGGACCAAATAAAAGCCCATGGATTACTGGAAGACTTAAAAAGAAAAGCTGCTGGAATAGCAATTGATACTCATGCAGGAAAACCATTATGCATTTCAGATCTAAACCCATCAAAAAGTTCTCCCATCAAAAAAAAAAAAAGCAGAGCTCTGTAGCACTGTATCTGAAAACGAAAAGCACAGGGTGAGAACAACAGCTAGCCATGTTGCATTCAGGTCAGGTATCAGAATTCGAACTGGAGACTCTAGTTTCTTCCCCAATCTCTCTCAGTCTGAAAAAAGAAAAAAAAAAAGACTGCAATCCAAACAGCTTAACCAAGAATCAAAAATCGAGAAATTCCTTAATTCTTAATCCTTTTGTCAAATCTTTTCCAGCTTCTATGACCTTGATGAGCCTGATCCACCTCACAGGGTTGTTGTGGTGGTGGTGAGGAAAATAGGAGGAGGGAAGGGAGATGTGGTGGAAATGTTTGCCACATTGAGCTGTTTGTAAAAATAATAATAATAATAATAATAATAATAATAATAATAATAATAATAA